GCGAGGCTAAGCGAAGCTAAGCGAAGCGAATCGAATCAAAGCTAAGGGAAGTGAAGCGAAGCTAAGCGAAGCTAAGCGAAGCTAAGAGAAGCAAAGCGAAGCTATGTGAAGCGAAGCGAAGCTAAGCGAAGCAAAGCGAAGCGAAGAGAAGCGAAGCTAAGCGAAGCGAACATGAAGCTAATCGAAGCGAAGCGAAGCAAAGCTAAGCGAAGCGAACACGAAGCTAAGCGAAGTGAAGCGAAGCTAATTGAAGCGAAGCTAATTGAAGCGAAGCTAAGCAAAGCGAAGCGAAGCTAAGCAAAGCGAAGCAAAGCTAAGCGAAGCTAAGCGAAGCTAAGCAAAGCGAAGCGAAGCTAAGCGAAGCAAAGATAAGCGAAGCGAAGCTAAGCGAAGCGCGGCAAAGAGAAGCGAAGCGAACACAAAGCGAAGCGAAGCTAACCAAAGCAACGTGAAGCAAAGCTAAGCGAAGCGAAGCAAAGCTAAGCGAAGCAAAGCGAACCTAAGCGAAGCGAAGCTAAGCAAAGTGAAGCGAATCTAAGGCAAGCGAGGCGAAGCTAAGCGAAGTGAAGCAAAGCTAAGCGAAGCAAAGAGAAGAGAAGCTAAGCGAATCGAACACGAAGCTAATCGAAGCGAAGCTAATCGAAGCGAAGCGAAGCTAAGAGAAGCTTAGCAAAGCTAAGCGAAGCGAAGCTAAGCGAATCGAAGCAAAGCTAAGCGAAGCGAAGGGAAGTTAAGGGAAGCTAAGCAAAGCGAAGCTAAGGGAAGCTAAGCGAAGCGAAGCAATGCTAAGCGAAGCTAAGCGAAGCAAAGCGAAGCTAAACGAATCGAAGCAAAGCTAAGCGAAGGGAAGCAAAGATAAGGGAGGCGTAGCGAAGCTAAGCGAAGCAAAGCTAAGCAAAGCGAAGCAAAGCTAAGCGGAGCAAAGCTAAGCCAAGCGAAGCGAAGCGAAGCTAAGCAAAGCGAAGCGAAGCTAAGCGAAGCTAAGCGAAGGTAAGCGAAGCTAAGCGAAGGGAAGCAAACCTACGGGAGGCGTAGCGAAGCTAAGCGAAGCGAAGCAAAGTGAAGCTAAGCAAAGCTAAGAGAAGCAAAGCTAAGCGAAGCGAAGCGAAGCGAAGCGAAGCTAAGCGAAGCGAAGCAAAGCGAAGCAAAGCTAAGCATAGCTAAGCGAATCAAAGCGAAGCTAAGGGAAGCGAAGCGAATCGAAGCTAAGCGAAGCTAACTGAAGCGAAGCGAAGCTAAGCGAAGCTAAGAGAAGCAAAGCGAAGCTAAGTGAAGCGAAGAGAAGCTTATCGAAGCGAAGCAAAGCAAAGCTAAGCGAAGCGAACACGAAGCTAAGCAAAGCGAAGCGAAGCTAAGCGAAGCTAAGCAAAGCTAAGGGAATCGAAGCGAAGCGAAGCTAAGCGAAGCGAAGCGAAGAGAAGGGAAGAGGAGCGAAGCGAAGCGAAGCAAAGATAAGAGAAGCAAAGCAAAGCTAAGCGAAGCTAAGCGAAGCCAAGTGAAGCGAAGCGAAGCTAAGCGAAGCTACGCAAAGCTAAGAGAAGCGAAGCGAAGCTAAGGGAAGCTAAGCGGAGCTAAGCGAAGCTAAGAGAAGCGAAGCGAATTGAAGCTAAGCGAAGCTAAGGGAAGCATTGCAAAGCTAAGCGAAGCAAAGCAAAGATAAGCGAAGCTAAGCAAAGCGAAGCGAAACTAAGCAAAGCGAAGCGAAGCTAGGCAAAGCTAAGCGATGCTAAGAGAAGTTAAGCGAAGCGAAGTGAAGAGAAGCGAAGAGAAGCGAAGCGAAGTTTAGAGAAGCAAAGCGAAGCGAAGCTAAGCGAAGCTAAGCAAAGCTAAGCAAAGCTAATCGAAGCAAAGCAAACCTAAGCGAAGCGAAGCTAAGCGAAACAAAGCGAAGCTAAGCGAAGCTAAGGGAAGCGAAGCTAAGCGAAGCGAAGCGATGCTAAGGGAAGCGAAGCGACACGAAGCAAAACGAAGCGAAGCGAAGCTAGGCAAAGCGAAGCTAAGCAAAGCTAAGCGAAGCGAAGTGAAGCGAAGCTAAGGAAACCGATCACGAAGCTAAGCGAAGGGAAGCGAAGCTAAGCGAAGCGAAGTTGGGCAAAGTGAAGCGAAGCGAAGCTAAGCAAAGCGAAGCGAAGCGAAGCTAAGGGAAGCGAAGCGAAGCGAAGTGAAGCTAAGTGAAGCGAAGCTATGCGAAGCGAAGCTAAGCGAAGCGAACCGAAGCTAAGCTAAGCGAAGAGAAGCGAGGCTAAGCGAAGCAAACATGAAGCTAATCGAAGCGAAGCGAAGCGAAGCTAAGCGAAGCGAACACGGAGCTAAGCGAAGGGAAGTGAAGCTAATCAAAGCGAAGGGAAACTAAGCGAAGCTAAGCGAAGCGAAGCGAAGCTAAGCAAAGCGAAGCGAAGCTAAGCGGAGCAAAGCTAAGCGAAGCTAAGCAAAGCTAAGCGAAGCTAAGCGAAGCTAAGCAAAGCTAAGAGAAGCGAAGCGAAGTATAGCAAAGCGAAGCAAAGTGAAGCGAAGCTAAGGGAAGTTAAGCGAAGCTAAGCGAACAAAGCTAAGCGAAGCTAACCGAAGCTAAGAGAAGCAAAGCAAAGCTAAGCGAAGCAAAGCGAATCCAAGCGAAACGAAGCAAAGCGAAGTGAAGCTAAGCAAAGCTAAGCGAATCGAAGTGAAACTAAGCGAAGCAAAGTGAAGCGAAGCGAAGCTAAACGAAGCTAAGCAAAGCGAAGCAAAGAAAAGTGAAGCTAAGCGAATCTAAGCGAAGCTAAGCGAAGCGTAGTGCAGCGAAGCTAAGCAAAGCAACCACGAAGCTAAGCGAAGGGAAGCAAACCTAAGCGAAGCGAAGCGGGGCAAAGGGAAGCGAGGCGAAGCAATGCAAAGTGAAGCAAAGCGAAGCTAAGTGAAGCGAAGCAATGCTAAGTGAAGCTAAGCGAAGCTAAGTGAAGCAAAGGGAAGCAAAGCGAAGCTAAGCAAAGCGAAGCAAAGCTAAGCGAAGAAAAACTAAGCGAAGCTAAGCGAAGCTAACAGAAGCGAAGCTAAGCCAAGCGAAGCAAAGCGAAGCGAAGCCAAGCTAAGCGGAGCAAAGCTAAGCAAAGCTAAGCGAAGCTAAGGGAAGCGAAGCAAAGCTAAGCGAAGCTAAGAGAAGCGAAGCGAAGTAAAGCGAAGCTAAGGAAGTTTAGCGAAGCTAAGAGATTGAAGCTAAGCGAAGCAAACCGAAGCTAAGAGAAGCGAAGCAAAGCTAAGCGAAGCGAAGCGAAGCAAAGCGAATCTAAGCAAAATGAAGCAAAGCGAAGCGAAGCAAAGCTAAGCGAAGCTAAGCGTAGGTAAGCGAAGCAAAGCGAAGCTAATCGAAGCGAAGCAAAGCTAAGCGAAGCTAAGAGAAGCGAAGCAAAGTAAAGCGAAGCGAAGCGAAGCTAATCTAATCGAAGCAAAGCGAAGCTGAGCGATGCGAAGCGAAGCTAAGCGAAGCGAAGCTAAGCAATGCGAAGCGAAGCAAAGCTAAGCGAAGCTAGGCGAAGCGAAGCAAAGGTAAGCGAAGCTAAGCGAAGCGAAGCTAAGCTAAGAGAAGCGAAGTGAAGCTAGGGGAAGCTAAGCGAAGCTAAGCTAAGCTAAGGGAAGCGAAGCGAAGCTAAGCGAAGCTAAGGGAAGCGAAGCGAAGCTAAGCGAATCGAAGCTAAGCGAAGAGAAGCGAAGCGAAGCTAAGCTAAGCGAAGCGAAGCTAAGCGAAGCGAGGCTAAGCTAAGCGAAGCTAAGCGAAGCAAAGCAAAGAGAAGCGAAGTGTAGCTAAGCGAAGCTAAGCGTAGCTAAGCGAAGCTAATCGAAGCGAAGCGAAGCTAAGCGAAGCGAAGCGAAGCTAATCGAAGCGAAGCGAAGCTGAGCAATGCGAAGCGAAACTAATGAAGCTAACCGAAGCGAAGCGAAGCGAAGCGAAGCAAAGAGAAGCGAAGCAAAGCAAAGCGAAGCTAAAGCGATGCAAAGCGAAGCAAAGGGAAGCGAAGCGAAGCTAAGAGAAGCGAATCGAAGCTAAGGGAAGCGAAGTGAAGCTAAGAGAAGCGAAGCGAAGCGAAGAGAAGCGAAGAGAAGCGAAGAGAAGCGAAGCGAAGCGAAGCAAAGCGAAGCTAAGCAATGCTTAGCTAAACGAAGCAAAGCGAAGAGAAGCGAAGCGAAGCTAAGCGAAGCTAAGAGAAGCAAAGCGAAGCTAAGCGAAGCGAAGCGAAGAAAAGCTAAGTGAAGCTAAGCGAATCTAAGAGAAGCAAAGCGAAGCTAAGCGAAGCAAAGAGAAGCGAAGAGAAGCGAAGCTAAGCGAAGTGAAGCTAAGGTAAGCGAAGCGAAGCTAAGCGAAGCGAAGCTAAGTGAAGAGAAGCTAAGCAAAGCTAACAGAAGCAAAGCTAAGCCAAGCAAAGCGAACCGAAGCAAAGCGAAGCGAAGCCAAGCTAAGCAAAGCGAAGCGAAGCGGAACGAAGCTAAGCAAAGCGAAGCGAAGCTAAGCGGAGCGAAGCTAAGCGAAGCTAAGGGAGGCGAAGCGAAGCGAAGCAAAGCTAAGCGAAGCTAAGAGAAGCGAAGCGAAGTAAAGCGAACCAAAGCGAAGCGAAGCTAAGGGAAGTTAAGCGAAGCTAAGCGAACGAAGCTAAGCGAAGCAAACCGAAGCTAAGAGAAGCGAAGCAAAGCTAATCGAAGCAAAGCGAAGCAAAGCGAATCTAAGCGAAACGTGTTATGATTAAGGACGGAGTCTAGGTGTGCTTAGGAGCTAGAACTACTCAAAATATAAATAGGAAATTTTGGACAGAAAAGTCGTCTTCACAAGAAACGACGTCGACGAAACACTAGCTGTTGGAATGTCGCGAAAATCGGAATTGTAGCTACCGTTCGCAATTTGAATCTTGGCGATTGATGGAGTATTTGCGACGCTATGGCTTTCGACGCACTGGGGGGTAAGGTGTAGGAGGAGAACTTTACTCATCTCAAAAGTTCAATCAAAGTTCAAGAATCTCACAAGGAATTAGAGGAGCAAGAGAAAGGTTGGGATGGGAAGAGAGGGACGAGAGGGAAGGTCCCAAGAGAGTCCCCAACCAAGGAAACCCCATAAGCACAAAGATTCCCCCCCTATAGGAACCCCAACTTTGACATTTGTCCCTTCCCAACCAATCCATCCAAGTTGGCCACCCTTGCCAACATAGCTTGGTTGTTCCCAACCAATTTGCAGCTGTTACAGTAGAGTGACAAATTTCCCCAACCCCAAAGGTCCCAACTCCATATAGAGTCACCCCACAACTTCACTTTGTAACTGCCGCAATTGTAACGCAAGCTCATGAACTTTGAATCTTCATAGCTTTCGCGTTCTTGCTCCGATTGAAGCGATTCTTGTTGCGTCGGAAAGATCTTCTCAAGATCTATCATCACAAATACCTGCTCAGACAGAATAACACAAAACACATTCCCAAACTCCAGAACACACACCACACAAATTCTTTCACACACAGTCAAACCATACATGCGAATTGAAACAAGGGATGGGAGGCAGACAGAATGTGATAGCATATGATGACATCATACAACAATCTCCCCCTCTGGCTGCCAACCATCATCCACCATACCAACATCTCAAGCATGCATACTCAATGCACACTCATCCCAGCAAGCTTCATGCCCTTCCAATGATCCGCCTCCGCCAGACGCTTAGTGAAAATATCTGCTGCTTGCTGATGGGTCTTCACTATCTCCAGCCGCACCTCCTTATCAAGGAGTCTCCTCACCCAATTCCACTTAGGCCTTATGTGTTTTGTCAGCCCATGCAGACAAGGTTTCTTGGCGAGCTTCACAGCAGACTCATTGTCACAAAACACAACTGTCGGCTCCTCTTGACCAACTCCCAACTCCTCCAACAAACGCCTCAGCCACACCACTTCCTTGACCCCATGGTGTAAGGCCATGTACTCAGTCTCACAAGAGGACAATCCCACCTCATTCTGCTTCTTGCTGCGCCAGCTCATAGCACCACCTCCTAGCAAGCACACATAACCCCCAATGCTGGTGCCATCCGCTTTCACTGAGTTGAAGCTAGCGTCAGTATAGCAACTCAAAAGCATCTCTCCACTCTTCACATCTGCAGAACCACTTTGCAATCGCTGCCTCACTCCACTGTACTCCAATCCCAATGATGCCGTAGCGCTCACATAGCGGACCAACCTCTTGGCCGCTTCCAGTTGCTCATGACTAGGGCGTGAGACAACACTAGCCAACCGTGATGTAGCAAATGCAATGTCAGGCCGTGTATGATTTGCAGCATAGTTCAGCGACCCAACCATCGAATGAAACAGCTTCCTGTCACTCTCACCCACTACCTCCTCATCAGCACATGGCTCCACAGTAAACCCCAAAGGCAGTGGTGTTGCTGGCTTTCCCCCATCTTGCAGCCCATACTTCTCAGCCAGCCCCTCACAGTACTTCCTCTGGTGCAACCTCAGCACACCCTTCTCCACATCTGTCTCCACATGCATCCCCAAGTAGTACTTCACCTCACCCATCTTGGAACACTTGAACTGCATCTCCAGCATCTACTCTGCGCTGTTCAGCAAAGTGGTTGATGCAAAAAACAGAAGGATATCATCCACATACGCCAAGAGCATGAGGATTTCATCCTTCTCCTGCAGCAGGAACAGGCTGGGGTCACACTCACTCTTCTTGAAACCCCCAGCCAACAGTGCCTCCTCCAGCTTGTGATACCATGCACGAGGCGCCTGCTTAAGGCCATAGATGGCCTTCTTCAGCCTGCAGACCCTGCCGCTCCCATCATCCAGCCCCTCTGGATGCTTCATGTACACCTCCTCCAGAATGATCCCATTCAGAAAGGCAGTCACAATGTCCATCTACCGAATCTTCCATCCCAGGAGTGCAGCTATCGCAACAGCACCCTCAGTGTTGTTCCTTTCCCCACAGGAGTAAACACCTCATCATAGTCCTTCCCCTTTGTCTGCTGAAACCGCCGTGCCACAAGCGTAGACTTGTAGCGGGTCAGCTCCCCTTCAGGTCCATACTTGTGCCTGTAGATCATCTTGGAAGTGATTGCCTTCTTCCCAGGAGGCAAGTCACACAGGTCCCATGTCTCATTCTCAATCAGGGACCCAAACTCCTCATCCTCACTCGCCTTCCACTTCTCCCCATTTGGTCCATTCAAGGCCTCCTCTCGAGTCTTGGGCTCAGGGATTGGTGCCCAGTAGCAGTGAGCGATCTCATCTTCCTCAATCTGCTCAACCACACTCCCAGCCTGCACCACATTCGGCTTGCCTCTTCCCCCATAGTCAGCCTCACGGAGGGCGCACATCCCTCCTAGGTCGCTCAGGCGGGTGTGGAACTCGAGGTGGAGACTCATGCTGCTGCTGCTGCTGCTCCACTTCAGCTGCTCCCCCTTCCTCAGTCACCCCAGACATCTCCTCCTCTGACACTGCAACCTCCACCTGTCTTGAAGGCTGCTGCACCTCATCTGCCTCCACAATGAGCGGTGTAGATGGAAGCTTCTGTTGCTGCTGCTTCCATTCCTTGTAGTACAGGGACTCAAGAAACTTCACATCCCTTGACACTGTCAGCTTCTGGGTGGTCAAGTCCCATAGCAGCCACCCCTTGTGATCCTTTGCAATCCCCAAGTGCACACCCCATCTTCCAGAAGCCTCCAACTTCCCCCTTTTCTCCTTAGGCACATGAAACACCACCATGCACCCAAATGCCCTCAGCATGTTCACAGCTGGAGCACTCCCATACCACTTGGTATATGGGATCCACTCCTTATCCCAACTGTAGCCAGCACCCTGTTCTTCACAAGGGCGACCTGCCTCAGTGCAGACACCCAAAACGGATCAGGCAGCCCTGCACGCCCAAGGAGAGTGCGTGCCCCCTCCTGCAGGGTCCTGTTGAACCTCTCAGCCACGCCATTCTGCTGCGGGTTGTAGGGCACTGTCAGTTGATGCTGGATCCCCTTCCTCTTCAACTCCCCCTCAAAATCAGCTCCAATGAACTCCCCACCATTGTCACTACGGATCACCTTCACCTTGTGTCCGCATTCCCTCTGAGCTCTAGGCATCCACTCCTTAAGGACAGCCGCTGCCACCTCCCCCTTGCTCTTCAAAGGGTAAACCCACACTGCCCGAGTGTGGTCATCCACAATTGTCAAGAAATAGCGGCTGCCTGAGAGGGAAGGGGCTCTTGTGGGCCCCACCACATCCATGTGCACAAGTGCAAGTGGGGTCTTGGCTGGTCCTGTAGTGCTGTTGAAGGGGAACTTGGAGAACTTGGTCTCCAAGCATGTAGGGCAGCTCCCAATCTCCTTCACTCCCCCTTTCACCTCCAAGCCCTTCAGGCTCCCATCCTTCACCAACTTCTGCAGCATAGGGAAGTTCACATGACACAGCCTCTCATGCCATGTCTCCCAATCGGCCTCTCCACTCCTTGATGAAGCCTTAGCCCATGCCGCACTCGCATCCACACCAGCAAGCACCTCACCATGTGTCTGCTGCTGCTGCACTTTCTTGACTGCTTCCAGGACCCCATCAGTTGGTGCAGTTGCATCTCCTCCTGCTGTTGCCTTTGCCGCTGCTGCCGTTGCTGCTGTTGGAGTCTTCCCATTCCAAGGGATGATGGGCAGCTGCCACAGGTCCTTGATGCAGCTGGTCTCCTCTTCCAGACTCCACAGCACCTTCTTCCCAAGCTTAGCACGGCAGCTGGTTGGTCCAAAGGTCACTTCGGCCTTACTCTTCTGCAGTCGCCGCACAGAGAGAAGGTTAGCAGACAAGCCTTCAACCAGCAGAACATTCCCAAGCCCCACAAGCTCCCCATTAGCTCCCTTAACCTTGGCATTCCCAACACCAATGACAGGGAGCAAAGCACCTGACGCTGCTGCCACATACTTAATCTTCCCAGGGGGTTTTACCTCATCAAGCAAATCTGCCCGTGGGGTCATGTGACTGGTGCAACCGAATCAATCACCCAGTGCGTGAGAGGGTGCATCACAACCTTTCCCACAGATCCCACATCACCCTCATGCCCATGCACATCCTCAACCATGAGAAAATCCCAGGATAGGCATTACCTTGTGCACCTTCACCTTGTGCACCTGAGCCTTGCACAGCGCCACCTTGTGCGCGTTCACCACTGGCGGCTTCATGCCTGGAGGTGCCCATCCCTCCGGCCTGCTGAAGCACTTGAACCAAGGATGCCCGACCTTCTTGCAGTACCAGCAGGTGCCCTCCATTCTGGTACTCCCCCTGCCACTAGAGCTCCCATGCCCCTCATTATAGTCACCTCGGCCTCTACCTCTGCCAAAGCTCCTCCCACGGCCTCGGCCTCTCCAACCCCCTCTTCCTCTGCGCGCCCTGCAGCTCCATACCCCTCAGCAGTCTTAGTGGCAGCAGCCTCCCACATGGCGTCTGCGGAAGTCCTCCTGCAGAATCTGCTGCCTTAGCCACTCAGGTGTCCATTGATCTTGCTGAGAGTTGAGGGTGGGGATGAGGTTGTCCCAAGAGTTGTCCAACACCGAGATGATCTTGGTGCACTGCTGCAGCTGAGATACACTGCTGCTGCTGCTGCCATCC